CAGGGCTGGCGGGGAGCCCCCCGGTCCTGCCCGCCGGGCACCGGCCCCTCGCCGGAGCAGCTGAGCTGGAGCCAGAGCAGCGAGGCGAAGCCCAGGAGCAGCGCCAGGAGGAACAGCGGGAAGGCGGAGAGACGGCCGGGGAAGAGCCGCGGGAGCGGCGGGGACCTGGGGCACGGCGCGGGGTCAGCGGGCGGCGGGACCCCACCCCAAACCCCCCCAGCCGCCCGCCCCGCCGGACCCCGCGGTGCCACCTGCGCCCCGCGCCCCGCCGGGCTCACCCGCGCCCCCGGGCTCACCCGCGCCCCCTGTGCCCCCGGGCTCACCCGCGCCCCCGTGCCCCCCGGCTCACCTGCGCCCCCGTGCCCGCCGGGCTCACCCAGCGCCCCCGGGCTCACCTGCGCCCCCGTGCCCCCGGGCTCACCTGCGCCCCCGTGCCCGCCGGGCTCACCTGCCGCCGCGCAGCCGGGAGCGCATCCCTGCGGCGGGCCGGGCCCATGGCGCCTGCCTGGCCTCCGCCGCCCGGGGACACGCTGGCGGCACCCGCCGCTCCCCCCGAGCTCCCGGAAACACGGCCCTGCTTCCTTTCCGCCGGCGGGGCGGGACGGGGGCGGGACCGACCACAGAGGACATCCCCCATCCTCCTCCCGCACCCCCCGCCACCACCGGGCTCCTCTCCTCCAGGAGCATCCCTTCTTCCATGCCGTGCCCCCCGAAGATTCTGGAGAATACAGACCCCCCTCCCGCCCAGTTCCTTCGGGACCCTACCAAGATTGCCTCCCCATCCAGCTGGGACACTCCCCTCCTGGAAAAAGGACCCCCCTCCCTCCCAGCTCTTTCAGCCCCCCTACCGGCATTTCCCATCCTTTCTCCAAGTAAAGCCCACCTTCTCCCCCTCAGACAGAGCCAGAGCCGCAGGTGGTGTCAGTCCTTTAATGCCCCACTCACAGTCCCCTCCCCACAGACCCTCACCTCATGTTCACACCTGCCCCAGGCAGCACAGCAGGTCCCAGCTGGCGGGGAGAGCACTGGAAAAAACGGGGGAGCAAACTCCAGGCTCCCACACCACAGCTCTGGGTTGTCCAGAGGGCATCACCCCCTTGATCCAATCCGCTGGAGGCCAAGGGCCGGGCAGGGGTTACAGCCAAACAGACAGGTAAGAAAATACTTCTGGTATTTCTCATAAACAGCGTTTAGAAACCACAGTTTTTACAGCTCCCCATAGAAAAGATGGGTTTGGGCACAGGTGTTCCATTAGTAGAAACGCTTGTTCCGCTCCTGGCGCTTCTGGAAGACCACGGCTCCCACCACGGCGCAGATGATGATGCCCAGCAGCGCGCAGAGCAGGAGCAGGAACACCTTCCAGCCCGTCAGGGGCCCGCTCCGGAAATTCCCCGTTGGGTCATCCACGTTATCTGTAAGAGCAAGAATGGCTACAGACACAGACCCAAGCTTGGCTCCCACAGAGTCTCGCAGGGTGTCACAGCCCCAGTGTTCCAATCCCCCACGGAAGGTCTTTGAAGCCCACGGACTCACCTTTGGGGGACTTAAGGAGGCTGACCCTTGGCTCGATCTTGGTCCAGTCAACAGTCTCATCTTCTGCAGGGTGCTCCACCATGAGCTGGAACAGCTTCATCGAGATAATGTCATGATTGTCTGTGGAACAGCCAGCAAATGATGTCAGAAACTCTGAGAGATGTCCAGGCACTCAGAGCATCCCTCAGATCCTGCTCTGCCAGGTCCAGTCTCCTTCTCTCTCAAGCCACCCTCATTCCCAGGTATCAAACTGCAATCCCACGATGTTCCTTGGCTCTCAAGTGCCTCCTTCCCCTGCCCACAGGTCCCTACTCAAGAGGGTTGCAAGAGCCCAGTGAACAATTCAGGGAAAGGAAGCCATGGAAGCTATCCAGTGCATCCACAGTTACAGTCACAGAATCACAGAATAGTTGAGGTTGGAAGGGACCACTGGAGATCATCTAGTCCAACCCCGCTGCCAAGGCAGGATCACCTAGTCCAGGCTCCAACCACCAAATGCTCCCCTGAGCAAAGCCCCCTCTCACCAGACAGATCTCCAGTGCCAGCAGAAGCACCAAAGAAGTATCCAGTTGGCAGGTGCACCCCTGCAATGTCGATGCAGTTCTTCCATTCATTCTTGTCTTCCACATCAGTCATCACCTGCAAGACCAGGGCAGGGTCACAGCACGAATGCTCATGGCTACCCTGCAGCTCTTTCAGAGCTGGAGGTGCTGGAGAGGCAACCCCAACCCCAGTGAGCACACAGGATCCCCCTGGTGCCCGGCGGGTCTCACCGTGAGCCGGCCCCGGGAGTAGCGGATGGCCAGGAAGGTGTCGTGGTTCTGGTTGCGCAGGTCGGCGGAGCACCCGGCCAGCTCCGTCCAGCGCCCGTCCTTGCTGTGGTCGTACGTCAGGGACCCGTTGTTGACCATGGCCGAGATGTAGGGGAACACCCGCTGTGGGGGGACACACGGCAGCTGCAGGGGGGCTGCACTGCCAGGGCCACCGTGCCCTCAGAGAGAGCAGCTGGGAGCACAGCAGGGATGGAGCACAGGACCGTGGAGTCGAGGCTGCTCCTCCACGCAAAGCTGCTTCTAAGCTGAGCCAGAGCTTGTTCTGCCTAAAGCCAAGCTGCCACTTCTGACCTTCACATCACGACCCCCTTTCTGTGATTCTGTGAATAAGCCCACCCTGTACCACGTGGCCAGGGCAGAGACAGCCCCAGGCTTGCAGAGTGGCTGGATAAAAATCACGGAATCGTTTCGGTTGGAAAAGACCTCTGAGATCATCAGGTCCAACCTGTGACCCATCACCACCTTGTCAAGCAGACCAGAGTCCTCCCTCGAACACAAGAAGTGTAAGAACTGAGCACAAGACCCAGAACGGGCAGAAATCCCACATAAGCAGCAAAACCACACACAGGGCTTTGTAGTCAGTACATTTCATACACCAGGAGATGCCAACTGGAGACAGGAATTCACCTTCCATGAGCATCAAGGCAACAGGGAGATGGGTCACTTCCAGGTGTGTTATGGCTGAAGGGTCACGCTTTTTGGTGATACAGACCTCAGCTCCCAGGACAGGAAGAGCAGACCATGCTCAAGTAAGGGGAGAAGCTCTTGGAGGAGGAAGGAAATGGCCTCCTGGGCACTGCACAGGCTCTCTGGATCACTCACCTCCGTCGCTTCATCGTTGGGATACGTGTCAAGGAAAATAGCCAGTCCATGAAACTTGTCCTTGCTGCCAAAGACGGGACCTGGAACAGGACAGAACATTGGAGACAGAAGGCTCTGGGTCAGGATTTATGCTCAGACTCCTGAGCTGTACAAGCTGTTCACTGCCAGGCAGGTGGCCGAGGGCACCTGCTCCCACACAGGACACGTCAGCCCATCTAGTGAGACCAGACGGCGGGAGCTCGGGGCCCTCCCTGCCCAGCTGCCTTCCGGGACAGGGCACGTGTGCTGCCGACCCGCACTGACCTGGCACCAGCCGATCCTGCGTGTACCACAGCGCCAGCCCGTCCCCGTGCAGGTTCTTCTTGCCGGCTCCGTGGATCTTGAAGTGGACGTGGAGCTCCCAGTCCTTGAGGTAGCAGGGCTGTGGGAGAGACCCCAGCGGCGTCAGAACGAGACCCAGAGGAGGCGGCGGGGCCGCCATGGACCCCTGCCCGTCTCCCCCCGGGCTCTCACCACGTGGTTCCAGATGGAGCCCTCCCGACTGCGCTCGTCGGGCGTCAGGCGGACGTACTGGCTGGTGACCATGGTGCTGCCCTGGAAGTCCCACAGCGGCATCGCGGCAGAGCCGGCGCCTGCAAAGGGGCGAACAGAGCGCGGATCAGCCCGGGCCGCTCTCGGGGCGCACGGCGCGCCCGCCCGGCCCCGCGCTCACCCTGGTATGGCTTCATGAGCGAGTGCTCACGCTTCAGGTGCTCGCTGTTGCCGTCCGTGAGCTCGGCGGGCGCCGGGCGCGGCCCGACCAGCGCCAACAGCAGCGCGGCCGCCGCCACCAGCCCGCCCGCACCCGCCGCCATGCTCCGCTTCCGCCTTCCGGCCACCCGCCCCGGCCCCGCCCCGCAACCGAGCTGACCAATCAGAAACTCACACACTACCGAGGTCCCGCCTCTGGGGATGAGCGACACCGCTACCCACCTATGGCAGGAGAGGGAGGCGGGGCCAGAGGAGGCGCGCGGCTCCCGCTGCGCTTCGGGAGGCGGGAGGAGAGGGCCGAGCGCTCTCCAGGAGCATACTACGCCTGCGCGGCGGGGCGGGGGCATGCCGGGAGATGTAGTCCACCCGCCCCCGGGGCCGCTCACGTGCGCGCCTCGTGCCGCCCGCGGGACACGTGACCCGCCCCGACGGGAGCCGGCGTCGCGGAGCCGTGGGAAGGACTGGCCGAGGCAGTGCGGAGGTCACAGCAGCTTTATTGAGGGCTGCAGGACCGCCTCCCGCCCCACCGCAGAGGGTCTCACCCCATTCTTCCGCCCCGTGGTGGTCGGGGGGCAGAATCTCCCGTCCCTCTGGATGGGCAGCGAGGCGATGGCAGCCCTGGTTGGGGTTGGGGTGTGTTTGGGACAACGCATGTCCCAAGGGCTCTGGCGGAGCAGCCCCTCGGCGGCACAGGCAGAGTGGCTGCAGCCAGGGCTGGCACCAGGCAAGGAGAGCCTTCCGTCGGTGACTGCCCGGCCATGTCCTTGCTGTCTTCGTGCTTGCCCCAGATCCTGGGCAGGTTCTCGTGCTGGAGGTGTGTGAGCCCAGTGGGACATGTGCTTCCCTCCAGCATCACAGGGGCTGCAGGAGGGTCAGGGGGTACAAGGAGCCCGTGGAAGCCCAGGAGGCAGGGAGAGGGGAAGCCAGCTGGTTAGTGGAAGACTGGGTGAGAAAATCATCTGATCATGGCAGTCTGAGGCTCAGGGCCCAGCAGAGCCTTGGGGGAGCTCGAGGGACCAAGGGGGTTGGCCGTGGTGTAGGGACCTGCAGCTCAGTCCCATCTGGCACTTCGCAGCTCTCACTTCTTTCTGTTCATGATCTGACTAGAAATCCAGTTCATCCCATCCTGGAGGGAAGAGAGGTTGTGAGCACAGCCCCAAGAGCATGGCAGGGCCCTTGGGTCCTCTCCTGCATCTGCAGAGTCTGCAGGTCCCCATCTCTACCTGCACTCCTTCCCCAGACAGGGCTGAGCAGGCCTGGATCTGCCACTCCCGGTCCCGGTAGGTGTGGAGGTTCAGCCCTTCTGCGATTTCATCTGCAGGGGCTGCAGTCACCAGGTCCTGCTTGTTGGCAAACACCAGCAGCGGGACCCCTGTGAGGGACTCCTCCTCCGTGAGCTCTGCCAGCTCCTGCCAAGAGAGAACCTTCTCCCAGGGCTGCTGCCCTCGCCAGGGTGGACTGGATACCTCAGCTCCCAGGCTACCTCATGCCCTCTCTCTTATTGCAGACAAAGAAGCTGTGACGTCCTGACATTCCAAGGGAGAGATGTGCTTCCCTGAAGCTCCATAGGCCCAGGAGCCACACGCAGGGTTCCCTGAGGGCTGAAGTATTCCCAGCACTGAGGGCCTCGGGCAAAGGGCAGCTGCAGGAGGCTGCTGCCAGTCCCGTGCTGTCTGGCACACCCACAACGCCGTCTGGTGCCGGAACAGCCAAGGCTGGCACTCAGTCTCACCTTCGCCTTTCAGAGCTTTATTCCCAGGATTTGTAACTGAATTTGCTACTCATAAACCTTAGGCTGTATCCCTAACCTGGTGCTGGGGAGTTGGGACCAGGGCTGGTGACTGAGGGGTCACTCTCACCTGGGGCAGAGTCACCCTTGTGCCAGTACCCCTTGGGCAGCACACCAGGCTTGAGGGGAGCTGCTGGGCACGGATCTGCCATAGAGGGGGATGCCTCTGCCTGCTGGGGCTGATCTTGAGCCCTTCCCATAGAGCTCTGGGGACAGCATGGCCCCCACTGCAGCACTGCCCTACAGCACAAAAAAGCGGCCTCGCTCGCAGCTCCAGTCCTCAAAGAGTTGGTGCCAGACAGATCTCCAAGCGCCAGGACCCCACAGCCACCCCCACCAGATCCTTCATACCTGCCCTGTCTCCTCGAAACGCTTCTGGTCAGCACTGTCAATGACGTAAATCTGCCGTGGGGACAAAAGGGACAGTCAGGGGCTCCTTCTTGCCTGGCTGCACAGCCCTTCTGCAGGGCCCACACATCACTGCTGGTGGCCCCACACAGAGGGCACATCTCTCCACGCACAGAGCTGAGGAGGCTGCCCCACTCACCAGCAGGTCTGTGCTGCCCAGATACTTCTTCCAGTACGGGCGGATGGAGCGCTGCCCCCCGATATCCCAGACATTCAGCTTCAAACCGTGCGAGTGGACGCTCTTTATGTTGAAACCCTGAGCACGAACACAAACCCCGGCATCACCCAAGGGACAGTTGGGACCTGCACTTCCCCCTCCCCCCCGCTGCCCGTGTCCCCCAGCAGCACCTACCTGAGTGGGGGTGATGGTGCTGACCTCCTCCGATGCCAGGCGCTTCAGCAGTGTCGTCTTCCCCGCGTTGTCCAGCCCCAGCAGGACGATGCGGAGCTCCTGCTCCGACGAACCCTTCAGCTTCTGGATGACGGAGAGCAGCCCCTGGGGGCACAGGGAGATGCTGGGGGAGCCTTGTGGGGTGCTGGGTGGCTGCAGAGCACCCTCGTTTTGGAGGGGGGGACTGGGTGCCCTGTTGGCTGTGGGTACCCTGTGTCTGTGGCCTGAGCGAGCTTCAGGGCTCTGTTCCCAAGGTGTCCAGGCTTAGGGTGGCCCCATGGCAGATCCATAGAGCCTCAATTTCTCCCTCTCCAGGTGTGCTGTCCCTGCCCCAGCACCTCTGGCAACTCCTGGGTGTGCTGGGGGGATGGCCCTGCTGTGCCAGCCCGCCCAGCACTGCAACTGAGAGCTGGTGTTGCTCACCTGCCCTGGAGCAGGTGGGATGTCACCGGACCCCACTTACCTTCTGCACATCACCCATGGTCCAGGAGTCTCTGTGGTCCACAGCGTGCCTGGGGAGCTGCCGGGGGCCTGTCCCCGGGGCCCGCCGGCAGCTGCGTGACTGGCACGCTCCCCATCCCCGGGGGAGGAAGAGGATTATGGGCTCCAGAATTAGCTGCTGTTCCTCCATTTACCCACAGCATTAAATAATGCCCTCAGCAAATCCCCCAGCCAGCTGTCGCCCCGCCGTCACCTACCCCCGGGATAAACCAGGTCCCTCCGGGCTGGGGGCACTGGGGCACAGGGCGTCCCTCTCCCCATGGGACCAGGCTCCCGCCCCAGGAGGATGCTGTGCCCAGGCACCACGGGTGTGGCTGTGCCCTGGGGCACAGGGCTGACACAGCCTCCCACCAGCACCCACAAGCTGCCCCCTCAGAGGGTGGCAGGAGGAAATGCTGAGGCTGGAGCTGCCTGAGGCCACGTCACCCACTGCTGCCCGAGGGAAACCACCAGGCCCTGGAGCAGGGCAAGGGCTGGCTGGCCTGTTGGCAACCGGAGGTCGGGGATGGCGCAGGACGGGGGTCCAGAGGGACTTTTTACCCTGTAGCCGCCCCCCAGCCCTGGTGGAGTGAGGGGCTTGTCCATTCTCCATTTGGATTAAATACATTAATTAAGCAATGTCTTTGATTCCTTCGTGCTGCAGTTTGGTCCTCAGATCAGGTTTCCTAGCAGAGAGGTTATCCTTGCGGTGAGGACCGTGAGTCACGCACTCTTGGAGAGACATTTTTATTTATAACTCCTGTTGCAAAGCCAAGCCAAACAACACAGCCACACTCCAACAAAGGGAAGGGGAGCAGCACAATCACCCCCCATCCCGATGCCACTCTGTGCAGCGGTGGGGGATAGAAGGGGGCCTTAGGGGCCACACTCCATTCCCCCCTGCTCAGAGACCCTGCCAGGGCTGTGGCTGCTCATGTCGCTCCACTTTTGTGCCTGCTCACAGTGGGAATGTTTCAATTTTTTCTGCATAGATCTGCACCCAATTTAATGTTAGGGTTCTGCTTTTGATAGGTTAATCACCCACCTTATGTCCCCGTTATTAGCATTTCCCTGAGCAGGTTGCCATGGTGCTCTGCGGTTTATCCTATACTGTTAGTTACTGAGATTTCCTAACAAATATCCTAAAATATCCTCTGCTGGTTTGTGGTTGCTGATCAACATGGAACCCTGGCCTTAGGAGATGGGCAAAACTGCTTAGGCATCAGTTTGGTGACTCCAAGCTGCACGTCCACCACTCCTCTCTGCCAGGTTCTGCTGGCACAGGCAGCTCTCCCCAAACACTAGCCCTGGGGCCACCCCCAAACCCTGTGTGAGCAGGGCAAGCAGCATCAGGCTGATGGCAGGGTGTGCTGGATATGTTGATGCCCCCTTGCCTCTGAACCCCCCTTCCTTTGGGTGATGTGATGACCAGGAGGAGCCCCCTCGGGCTGCCCAGTCTGTGGGGAGAGGTGGTGATGGGGTGGTGACCCCAAGGCAGCACAGACCATGCTGGGAGTGGAGACTGGGATGGAGAAAGGAACAGGGATGCAGGATCACAGATGTGGATACAGATGGGGATGGGGACAAGAGACTGGGATGGGAACAGGATGCAGATGGGGACTGGGATGGGGAAGGGAAGAGGGATGCAGATGGGAATGCAGTCAGGAATGTGGATGCAGATGGAGACAGGGACAGGGATGCGGCGGCGCCTCCGGTCCCGGAGCTGGAGCCGGTGCCCACCGGGGCGGTGCCGGCGGCGCGGGGCGGGAGGGCGGCCCCGCTCCCCCCGGCTGCGGTCTCAGTTCCCATGGCGACACTTCCTGTGGCAGCCGAAAGCGGTAGTGCCGGGAGCGCCGGGCCGGGCCGGGAGAGCAGCGAGAGCCGCTCCGCCGGCCGGGGATGCTGCGGGGCCGCGGGACGCGCCGGTAGCGGGCCGGGCCGGGCCGAGCCAGGGATGCAGGGCAAGGGCAAACTCCTGGTGGTCCACAACGGGCGCATGGTGAGTGCCCGGGGCGCCGGTCTCCATCCCCCGGGGCTGCCCCACCCGGCGGCGCGGTGCGGGGCTGGGTACCGGGCGGGCAGGGGGATGGAGTGGATAGCGGGCGGGCAGAGGGATGTATGGGACCAGGTAACCGGCAGGCAGGAGAGTGTGGATAGGATAGTAGTCAGGCAGGGAGTTTCGGTCTGGATACTGTGCAGACAGAGGGATGTATGGGGCCAGGAAACAGGCAGGCAGGAGGGTGTGGGACTGGGTACAGGGCAGGATGGGGCTTGGGTATTCAAAGCAGGCAGAGATGTAGAGGGATTTTGGGGCAGGTAGCAGTATGTGGGGTTGGGTCGCAGGCAGGTACATACAGGGCTGGGGTAATGAGCAGCAGGGGTTTATGAGGCTGGGACAGGGCTGTAAGTGGAGATATGTGGCACTGGGGTAATGCACAGGCAGTGATGGATGGGACTGGGGCCACAGGAGTCAGCAGTGCTGGGATGCGTAAGGGCTGGGTGGCACAGGCAGGGCAGAGCTATGTGAGTGTGGGCAGCGGGGATGGATGGGAAGAGCAAGGAGCTGGCAAGATAGTGGTGTGTGGGGCTGGGATAAGGGGCATGGCAGTGGCATGTGGCATGGGGTAGCAGGGAGAGGCAGGGGTGGGATAATGCTCCTGGGGTGTGTGGGGTTGGGATGGGGACAATCGGGGGTGTGCAGGATAGGCTGGGGTGTGTGGGGCTGGCAGGGTGTGGGGCACTGGCCAGGTCAAGGGCATCCACTTCAGTGAGGGCATCACTTTAGTGTGGCCCCAGGGAGGTGATGAGAGGCAGCACCGTGCAGCGAGTGCTTGGCTGGGCTTTGGCTGCAGTGGTTCTGCCCATCTCCCTGCTTTGCTGTGGGTCCTGGGGTACCCATCCCTGGAGCTGGTGTCTGGGGCAGCCCATCAGGTACTGCAGAGTACCCTGTCCTGCTGAGCCCTGGGCTTGCAGCATCCAGTCCCTGGTTTTGGGCATCTGCCTCCCAGTAGCTCCAGGCTTCAAGGAAGGAGGGAGCAGGCAGTTTGCCGGCCTAGGGCTGTGGTTGTCCTTCCTTCCCTCCCCTCATCCCCTCCCCTCCCCTCCTCTTCCTGTGCTTCTCTCCTCCCCGGTTGTTTGAGGTGGCAGGGTTACGTCTATACTGTCTGCCCTTTCCCAATTGCTGGCCTGGCCCCAGGGCATGGAGAGGTGGGAGAAAAGCTGCACACCCCTTGCAACCCCCTATCCCTACTCACTGCCTATGATTTGGGAGCCCTGTGTCCTGCTTCTGTCGGCATCCCATGTCCGTTTCTCCTGGTTTGGACTGGGCTTGCCCTGAAGCTGCTGCCTGCCTGGGCACCTCTCCACCAGGCTGGCAGACTCTCACCTCTCTTGTTTCCACCCCCAGGGCCCGGCTGTGTCGGATGGAGGTAAGGCTGCTCTTTGCCTTGGAATGGGAGGCCAGCATCATCTTCAGGGGAGGGGGAAGCCCAGAGCCAGCCCGGTGCCAGGTCCTGTGGCAGCACAGGCTATGCCATGGGGAGGTGCATGGCCAGGCCTGCAATGCCAGACTGTCTGTACCCCCCATCCCTCCTGCATGGCCCTGTTGTGCCTGTCCATCCCTATGGCTGCTCAGCATGCGCCTTTGGGTGCTGAGGGCTGAGGGGTTTCCCATGGCAAGCAGAACTGGGTACCAGCCATCCCTGAGTTCCCTAAGGGAGTCTGTCTGTCTGTCTGTCTGTCTCACTGTGAACTTGGTATCTCAGATGGTCCATCTGACTGTCTTGGTCCCAGTTACTCGTGCTTTAGACAGGAGAAGTGGGGGGAGTCTGGCAAAGCAGGCTGACATTTCTGTCAGGCTTTGCCAGGAGAGCACTGCTTCCATACCTTTACCTTCTCTTGCAAATGACCCCCTGCTTCCAGTTGGTCACGAGTCCAACCAGTTCAAAAGCTGGTGTTGACCCTGGGAACTTCTGTCTTTTTGAATACATGGTCACCCTGGGTTTCCCTGAGGGAGGGTTTTCTCAGGATTTGGAACTGGGCTTGACACTTTCTGTGCCCTCTACTTGCTGGGTTTGTCCCTCGTCACGGCCAGAGGAATAGAGGAGGTGAGTTCAGGCACCTCTGTCCATCTTACAAGTTCCCTCTGTGCTGTGTGCTCTCCATGTCTCCTTTCACCCTGCTTTCCCTTCTGGGTGGGTACCTTCCCCAAGGCTCTCTTCCCCTGGAAGATGAGTCACAGGTGGAGTCATGGTGACACCCCACCCGGGAAGGGTAGGACTGCCAGCATGGGCAGGGAGAGCTGTCATGCCTGGAAGTGCCAGCTGTGTCATCATGGTGCTCAGTCCTCCGAGGATGCTGCTGTGATGCTCCTTGTGTTCCCTACCCGAGGGCTCTCCAGCTCCAGTCGGGATGGGGTGGATGAACTTGCTGCAGACACAGAAGGCTGCTGGTGGTGGGGAGTGACGCTGGGGTAGAGGGAGATAGACAGAACTGACCTTTTTCTCTCTCAGAATTAAATGCCTCCAGGGCCCGTGGCAGCAACCACAGCGTGAACAGCCTGCCAGCACCAGCTACCTGTGGCTCCACACAGGGGTCTGTGGTCAGCTGGGCCGAATCCTTCGAGACACTGCTGCAGGACCAGGTGGCCATCACCTACTTCACTGTGAGTGCCACAGCCCAGGGCTTGGTCCCCACTCCCGTCCACTGTTGGCCACCAACTGTACCACAGCCACAGTGCCACCAGGCTAGCAGCTCTCTCTGCCCCACAGGAGTTCCTCAAGAAGGAGTTCAGCGCTGAAAACGTCTACTTTTGGCAGGCATGTGAGCGCTTCCAGCAGATCCCAGCCAGTGACACGCAGCAGGTACCGGCCTCTGTGCAATCTGGGTCACCCAACTGCTGGGAGGGACCTGGGCAGAGCTGTCCAGCCTGTCCTGGGAGGGCTAAGCGGGTTGTGAGCTCTTACAGGAGGAATAAACAGATGGATTTGATGTACATCTGAA